AAGAATCACTGAGAGTGCAAACGCTTATTATGACTGTAGAACATTCAGAATTTAGTCGGTGATGATAAAATCTTATATATTTTATAATCAGTCTAGAGGGCTTGGACATTCCTATCTAACACGTCAACCATGACGGTCCGGCATTAAGTTCGGAAGGTCACTAGAGAGACATTCTGTGTCATAACATAGCTGGTCAATGTAATGGTTACTGGGCGACCAACTTTTCTTACACCATGACTAGGTGTCCAGAACACTAGATCACTCGAGAGTACTTTAGTTTACGAGGTATTAAAAGTTACATGCCAGTCTTTCTCGTAAATATTAATAAAATACGATAGAAAACTGAAGAGACTTAGGGAGACTTATTGTCACTTGATGGCAACGAAATGTCACTGACGTTCTATATCAATGAGACATTCTTGCACAAGTCAGATTTGAGGTCATCAAAATTACCGGGAAAAGTGATTAAAGATTTTTAGGGGACTCGCCCTCACTCGTTACACAGTGACAACTATTAAATACAGATGCTCTTCATGCTATCGGTTTTTTTATTTGTTTATTTTATTTTCAGTATCACCCCATGCAAGGCAGTACAGCCAGTAAAACGCAAAGGGTTACAGGGTAGGGGAGGAATTAGGAAGAGAAACAATAATGAGGAGAAAAAGAAAAGATTAATCAGGAAGACAGCAATTGATATTGTATTTAAGTTTTTGGACATTAATGTGCTGGAAGGGAATTACACAAGTTAGCATAGAACTTACAGCTACATATATCTAGCTCAACTGTAAATTGATGAGATCTAGATGGCTGTCTAGTACTGCGCTGAAATTAATAAAGTCTAGGTATTATAGCGAAGAGCTCCTCAGAACAATTATCAAAGAAGTATTTATAAAAGAAAAATTTAAAAAAACGGCGCAGAAAGGTAACCTTACGTCGATGAGTCAGTGACTGAAGCCGAGCCACCAGGACCAATAATATATAATATAAATTCTACGGGAGCACCTCGGGGCGGTGTAATAGTTAGCAAGCTTGTCTCGCTAGAACTATTACTACTGAGTAGTGCGTTCGATTCTTACTGGGTGCTCCCTACATTCGGCTTTGCGCCACATCTAAGCTACGCTTAGAAAATCCCTATAATATAAATTCTTTGGATTTTATCAAGGAGCTCAAAGTAAATAGCAGGAGCAGCGGATCATATGCGGCAGCAATAGTCTAAGCAAGGAAGAATGGTAGACTTATAGACATTTAAGATAGATTCCGGAGATAAAAAAAATTTCTCGCAAGACAGAGTGAACCAACTTTCTTAGTAGCTGACCTATCAATGGATTTAATAGAGTCTTTTCACTTCATGTGCTCTGAGAACATTAACCCGAAAAGGCGCGAACGAGTCACTTTGTCGTTTCATATGAAAGTTTAGGTCTGAGCAAAACTAATGTGTCTGTCTTTGTGAAGCATCAAAAGCTTCATGATAATAAAAGTAAACATTTCACAAAAGAAATATTTGTCAACGTAGTATCCTTCCTTGCCAGTGCAGGTAACTCAAGTCTTTTTTCGTTAATCACATAGATTACGCAATTGATATTCTTCCGTTCTTACCCATGTCCGGACAGAAAA